TATTTATTCTGTCACTTTAGTATATACAAGTAATAAAAAATTTTTTGTAAATGTAAAATGATGTATGGATGGCAGTGCCAAAAATAATGCAAAAAAAGAATATAAGGATAACACAGCTATACATAAATCATCCCTACATGACTTTCAATATTAAAATTTAAATTTACTCTGTAAAATGTATACTTAACTTTAATATTACTGCAGTTGGAAGTTATATATTCCTGACTATTGGTATGCAGTTTTTTTTTATCATAATAGCGTAGTCATGTCAGGATAGGCATCAATGTAGTGTAATTAAGAGCCTTGGACTTACGTACAAGGAAAACCAAGTTGAGTCAAAACACATCTTGCTTATTACAGATTATTACAGACTCTCGCTGCGAGGTCAGTCAAATTGACCATTCTGTACTCGTGCAATTTGACCTATTTGACATGGAGTATGACAGTTTACATTTTTGATTTGTTGGGGGCATTTTCTAATAAACTGGGCCCAATCCTCAATGAAAAATTCTAGGCATATTGATCACATATTATTTTTCAGCTTTGATATATGATAAACTCGTTTTGTATCATTTAATAAAAACAATTAAACTTCTATAAACACTATTACATTTGATTTGATTTGTTTTAATGACCATTTTATTAAAAAATTAGATTAATTACAACTTTTTATTTTATTGGCCCCCCTTAAAATTTTCTACCCCCCGAGTGGAAAACCTGGCTACGCCACTGTAATTAATAGTTTTGTGTTATTTCATTATTAATATTTGCATTGTGTTTATACTGCATTTTCTACTTTACTACACTTGTGTAAGATTCTACCAAAATTTGGCACTTTATTATTAATATTTGTTTGTTTGGTTGAAGTGAAGCACAAAACCACACAATGGGCTATCTGTGCTCTGCTCCCAACGGGTATCGAAACCCTATTTCTAGCGTTGTAAGTCCGCAGACATACCGTTGTGCTCCTAGAGGGCTATTATTAATATAGCAGATCACAATAAAATCAGTTTAGATTAACACAATATTGTTAGTTATTGCCTCTCTTTAATTTTACAATGCCAATTATACAAAACGTATTTTTGCAATTTATATAGCCGTTTTTTTTCCATAGCTACTATAAAAACTAACAAAGTAGTATATAAATGAATTAAAATGAAGATAATGAAGTGACCAGAAATACCACAAAAACTGAGATCATCAAAATTGAAACCTTTCAAACATCAGTTGGATACCCTTTGATATTAACGTGGTTACTATACACTCGACAATTTAGGGACCAACAATATGGCTGTCGGTTGAGGTCTACATTGACTAGTCAATGCGCAACCCAATTCATAATAGAGATCAATGTTTAAAAGTCCGGGTACATTTACCGCTATAGGCTACAACCGGCAAAGAGCAAATGATAAACTTCAGCTGTTGGATAATGCATATTTTTTATCGATACTATAGTAAATTTTATTTATTTACTTAAAGGCTTTACGGATCAATTAAAATACATGTCACAAACCAGAATGGCATCCACTCATGGTGGCATGCCCTAATAAAAATAATTAAGAGCATTTCTTATTGACTAAATGATGATGATGTTTTTATCGCAAAGTGATAGAATGGGCTATCTGTGCTCTTTACACCCCGGGAAATCAAACCCGGGATTTCGCGTTGTATGTCCGTAAATTTACCGGCAATCTACCGGGACATCCAAAAAGAGGAGAAAAGACAAATGACAACCTCTACACACCAATCACTTAAAAGCTCTTTTACTTGAGTGGCATTTTGACCGTCCTTCTGCAACAATTTATTAAATCTAAAAGGGCTATCTAATTTATTAAAAAACAAAAACAAAACATATTTCCCCCCAGAAAAAAAATAAAGTTGACAAAAAACAGTAACTAATGTTGGATCTAATTTAATAGCTTAAAAGCTTTAAATTATTGTTTGCAATAACATAATATAAATGTGTGCGCATAAATAAAAATACCACTAAAATAAACTAAGTTATTTTTCCAAGATGGATGCCTGCTTCAGAAATTCAAATCAGCGAAACAATCTGGAGCATCGATAAAGTAATTTTTTGTCTAGCAAATGGCTAATAAACATAAAATCCAAGCACTAAATGCAAATTTCTGATGGCTTAGGTGGAAAGTTCTTTTTTCATTCACTCATATGAAACATTAAATCTAATGCAATGAGCAACTGGGTCAAAGCTAATAATTTGTTTGGTTTGGTAATCTTAAAAAAGAAAATAAATAACAAGTAGTAAGAAAAATTACAAGGAAAGTTAAAATTAAAGTATGTGTTGTCAGAAACACAACATTTCAATATCTATTTGTTTGATGCGAAAATGTCATCATCAAAAGTACAAAATATGTTAAATATTTGAATATGATTTTCGATTACTAAGCAATATTTGAAGTATTCTTATTTTCTTAATTGAGATATCTAAAACTGGCTTAAGAACTCATCAACAAACTGTATTTTTAAAGTTGGAGGTGACGAAACCTTTGTGTTTCTTGTATATTTCGACACAACGTGTTTAAAATGTATGGTTTACGATTTTTTGTTTTAACGTTATACACATGTCATATGCAAAAAATAAATTTTATTCAAAGATATATCAATATAACTTTAACTATAAGCGTCATATTTTGAGTAACTACGTTGCTCTAAGCTGTTATTTCTTTACATTCCGGTAGAGAACGCTTTTTGCTAGTAAGCTCAGGCCAGCAAGGTATATCTGACAAACTGTGCAGATATAACGTTACATGTGAAATGTAATGGCGTCTTCAGCGAGACAGCAATTAATAACTCTTTCAAGTTTGGGTGGATCTCACAAGGATCAAGCAGATCGGTGAGTAGCATTGTAGGGATTATTTGTGCTATATAGATTATATTAACCCTAGACGGCGGAAACGCTTGGGCGGACTCGGTTAACAATTTAAAAATCGAGGGCCAACTGTTTACCTTCTGAAAGTGAAATACAAATTTCTAAAAACTTAAAAGTTGTAAAATAGTAAAAATATACATGTAACTTTTAAGTGTATAAAACTTTTGGCTAACTTAAATTGGGCTCATTCAATAATATACAACTTTTACTGTCTATGATGTGAACTCACTCAGTGGCTTGACTGAAGAAAATGATCTTGGCATGAAGGTAGATAAGCCATTCAAACCATCAAAGCAGTCTTCAAATTACTAGTTGTAGTAATTATCACCTTTTATCACCGATTATCTTCATTAAGATGTGAAATGGTTTGCTTGTTGAAGTTGTTTGTGCAATTACTTTTAAACTTTAATGTTTAGGTTTTTGTTGTGAGGGGCTGCATTTAGATAAAGCTTAATTTAAAGAAATATTTTTTATTTTGAGATAGTTGAACAATTGCTTAAGTTTTATTATACAAATACAATTATATAATTGGCATAAAATGTAGCACCCATTATTACTCTAAGCCCCTTGGGATGATTTGTAATCTTCATGCATAAATAATTTCAATAGTATAATTAATATTAACAGGGTAAGCTAGCTACCTAGATAAAAAAAAAATCCATCAGGTAATGAGTATAGTTAATTCAATATACTGCTCTTACCTTCTTGTTTATAAAGATTAGAAAATATTATTCATTAGTTGGGTACCCTCAATGTTAACAATATTTTTGGATGTAAACCTAATATCTCAAGAGGTTTGGCCTGCTTAGGAAACTTAGATTAAGTCCTAAATCCATATACTGAGCAAACAATGCAAAATAATTTCAATGGTAGAACTAGATACATTAAACATTTTAACCATTTCAAGTGCCACGTCTATTGAGGATTCTCTCTTGTTTATTACTACGTAGATATCGAGCTGTGTTTGAAAGCATATTGAAAAGCTCTGGGCAAGAATTGGTGGATGGATTAAAGGCCTTTGTAGAAGCTAGTAAGTGTTTCATGTTTATTATTTATACACTTTATATTTCAGATAAACTTATTAGAAGGTTAGAATTTAGGATTGTGTAATGTGTCATTTATTCAAAATTAACAAAATTCAAAGGAGATAAAGAGTTAGTTAATAACTTGGAAATGGTTGTTCAAACAGGCTGTGGCACTGGTTCACTAGACTTTGATCAGCAGGTATAATCATAGGCCAAACTGGAACTGATCCATTAGTTAAGGTGTTGAAACTAACAGTGACACATGAAGCCCAGTGTATTGCAATATCTTACTACCAGTGTCTAGTTGATGATACAAAGCAAACTTCTTACCAGTATATCATGATGTTTCCAGTAGCCTTCTTCATTCATCACAAATTTGATATTACACATTTCATAAAATATATGTAGATGAGATTGATATCATATAAATACTGAAGAGCAGGTTAGAAATATTTACACTTTTCTGATACATAACTTTAACTTTTGACTGACAGATAACTAGAACGACATGTTATCTTACTGTAGTTTACAGGTGGTTAAACTTAAGGCTTTTTGGAAATAAGTAGTTAACATGATTTTTTATTGTTAGTTTTACTGTTCACTTTACCAGACTGATACTTTGTGACAGCTGAATATTGAGTAAATGAATGTTTTTGTTTTTTCATGTTCTAGGTGTGCAAGCAGTGAAAAGTATAGTGAAATAATAATAGGTGATAATGATCCATTAACAAATGTGTTTCTTTGTTTTTAATCACATTTGATTATTATTAATATTATTATTTTTTATTTATGTAAGATGTTTGTTCCTACTTACTTAAGACTTTTCAATGTAATATCAGATTTTGCATGTAGAATATCCAATACTGTATGAAAACATGTTCTGATCATTATTTCTGAATATTTGCAAAGGACAGTACATTCTTCAGTATATCTATCTTAATGTGTTCATAGCATTCTAAAAAATTTGTGAATAATAGAAACCTAGAATATTCATTGCTGTAAGGGAATGTTTTTATCATCGATTTTGGATTTTTGTTAATATTGTTATTTAAAATTTGTTTGTTGCATTCTGAAGGGATCTTCTAAAAACATCGCAAACAACGGGAATATGTAACACACTTAAATAAGAAAAACTGTATTTAAGCTTAAAAATGATCATTAACAGGGTGAGGAAAAAGAGCTGTCATACATGTAGTCCTAATACCTAGGCTTTAAACAACTTTTAGTCGTTAGTGACATTAACCATTTATTTTCCTGTAAAATGTGTGTATTAATTTGATATTGTAATAAATATAGTTTATTAGATGTAGTCAATATTGTTAGGAATAAATATAAAATATCTTCACAGTTGTTTTTTTGAATTTTAGTGATACAAGCACCTTATATTGTTAACATTAAACTTCGGTTTGAGAAGTAGACTCAAAAATACTTTAGAAACTCAAGCATATTCAAGTAGTTGTCTGTCCTTCAGGAGTAAAATTAAGAAGATGGGGGGAGGGGGAGAGATCAGGGATGGACCAAGATTAAAGTGAAAGAATCAGCTGAACTGAGAATCTGTTGTTTATATGATTCAAATAAAATTACACCTTGTCATGACAGTTCCATTTTCATTTAGAAGGCATAATGCAAAGTCACAGATAGAACATGAAAATAAACTCCCTTAAATATAAAAATAACTGAATGTTTGACTTATAGCATTTCAAAATCAATGCATTAATGTTGAAAATTCTTCAGTACTGCATAGTAATTGTCTAAATTGACATGCTTCTTTAAAAATAAAGCAATTTAACTTTGTTTCACTAAATTACAATAATCATCAGGATAATAGTATCAAGAATATTTCTGTTGTAGTTTGTCAGCACTGCAATGATGTATTGATCATATAATGATTTTTTATTCATGTGCCGTGTAATACACTTGGATTTTTATTTTTTTTTCAGTTGTTAATGAAAATGTGAGCTTGGTGATTTCACGACAGCTACTGACTGATGTTGGAAATCACTTGACAAAACTGCCTGATGACATATCTAAAGCTGTTTCCCACTTTACTCTGGATAGGGTTCAGCCTCGTGTAGTGTCCTTCGAGGAGCAAGTAATTATACCTCATAGCACTTATTTATCAGAAGAGCTTGGGTAGTCAGTAACACTTTGTGGTCATGATAGTTAATACTGATACTTGTTTTTCTATTAGATATTTATTTAAAATACACTGCTCTGAAATTATTTTTAAAAATAACGTGATAGTTACAGTATGGATTTTGTTCATATTTATTACCAATTCACAGAAAACGTGTTACAAAATACTAAATACTTGTACCATCAATATCAGAATTAGTCAAAACATTACAATAAGTTAATATTTCATTATTAATAGGACTTAATTCAGTAGCTCATGTAACTCCTCTTTTAATGTAATAGTCGATCAGTCTCTAAAGCCATCCAAGCAGTGTGCTGTTGCTAGTGGTAGGGCAAATAGGATTTTAGGTTTTATCTATAGAAATATTGAATATGAGTCTAAAGAGATTATACTTTCATTGTACAGGTCACTGGTTAGGTCACATTTGGAATATTGTGTTCAGTCTTGGGCTCCTTACCTTACAAAAGACATTGAATTGTTGGAAAGGGTAACCCTCGTGTAGCTTTGCGCAAAATTCAAAACAAACAAACAAATACTTGGTCAGCCAACCCCAAATCTAGATGGGATTAAGGTCGATTGAACAAGATAAAAATCAAACATAGTAAACAACTGTTTGTGTGAAATGTTATCTAATGCTGATAAAAGGGCAAGGTAAATGTGACCTCATTTGAAAAAACAAAACAGAAGCTACCAATCAAGCTGAATGCTGTGTATATTAAATTTTGGTTATGAAAATGTTTTATACTAGATTCCTAACAATATACTCCAATACTTTACCAATGACAAAAAGTGAAAAGAACAGGTCTGTAAATTTTCAATTCTTCACTTAGCATTTTTTTTTAGTAAGAATCCAACTTAGTAGAATTCAAGTCGTGCAGATTTTTCTCCTACTTTCTTGAGACCTAAAAATTAACTGTTAAAGTACTACATATGACTTTACTAGTTTTGTATCAGTTTTGGAATATGCCATTTTTTTCTCTTTGCTCAAAATGTTTGGGATGGAACTTGTATTGGCATTTTTGGAAATTGGTTATAAATTGCCAATGTATTAACTAAGAAAGTGGATAAGATTGGAAGCAAAATTATTGAAAAAAAGAAATTGCATGGGTCATTACTTGAAAAAAACAACAACTTGGATTTATATCTTTTTTTTTTTCTCATTGGTTTATCCAGTGCTAAACTGTAATTTGTAGTATTCTTGATTCAGAGAGCTTTCTTTTTATTGCCTCTGTCCGAGTATTATGAATGAGTGATTGAACTGTATTACAAGATGTGATTTACATAATGTTAGCAGTAACATATTTGTCAGAATAAAAGTCATGAAAATTAAATTTGGTTTTCATCAAGTAACTGTTATGTTCCTTATTAGCCTGATTGCTCTTACTGTTCTCAATACTATATATTTTTTTAAATGAGCCTCAATTATTGTAATAGTTGCATAACATTGAGAGTCAAGTTTTTCCCTTAAAGTTGTCCATTAATCTGAGCAAAATTAGAATTATTTGATTAAATAATTAGTAAAATCCAATAGAATTAGAAAATTTAGGATAAAATATTTGGGTATGAACATTTTCGTGTTGCATAGAATTACTTTTGTTTAAAAGCTAAGAATTTTATACCTAAGTGCACTTTATAACACTAGAAAACTTGTCACATTCTTTAATGGTGTAAATTATAGATGTATTTTTAGTCAGTCAGTTTACCCTCATATGCAGAATTCATTTTTGAAGAGTGAAATGATTTTTTGAAATCAGTGTACAAAACATTAGGGATTGAAAGAATAAAAAAAAAAGTATATAGAAATATATTTAATCTGCATATTTTTTATTATTTGTAAGTGAATGCACATGGACATTTTTTTCACATATTGTAATCACTAAAGATTGTTTTTAATGATTAGAAGTTGTTTGATGTTACTTTAACAGTTAAAGCTACCTGCAATTATTAGTACTTACTTTAGAGGGTTCTTGCCTGACACATGTACAAATTGACCTTGCAGAAACCAGTAAGATGAGTTGTGATTGTGAAAATGTCCACTGCTTTGCTTCAACAAGAAAGTGAAATACAAAACAAAGTTGCTGTTATGTAACTTTAAATTTTTCAAAACTCGCACACTCCTGTAGCATCTGAGCCTATTGGCCACCCTCATGAAGTCTTTCCATCTCTACAAGTCCTGTACAACCTCTGACCATTCTTTATCTTCTGTACCAACATGAAAGGTGTCCTCTGCAACATTATCTCACCACCTTTTTCTCAGTTTTCCTAATTGTCTCCCACCTTCTGGTCTTACAAACATAGCAATCTTGGGCAGTCTGTTGTCTTTCATTCTAGCAGCATGCCTAGCCCATCTCTTTCTTCTTGCTTTTATGATGTTTGCGATAGGAGTTACTACACTGATATCCACTAACTTTTGATTTTTCAAAGTAGCAAAACAATACCAGGTGATTATTAAGAGTAACATAAACAATAGAAATAGCAAGGAAATGTAAACTTCTAGGAGAATGGATTTGACTGTAGGAGGCCTAATAGTGTAATCTTAAGATTACAAAAGAAATTATGTGGGAAAAAAAAGACGAGGATTATCTGCACTTTTGATCATAAAAATGGAACTTTAAATTAAAAAAGTAATCTTTCAGTTAGATAAAGCTTAGTTGACGTGTATTTTTATGGTTGACCAGTAGCATGCAAAAGCATAAGCAAACAAATTCACAAAAGATTATAAAGAGATCTGTAATCTCTATCAATTGCCTGTAATGATTGATCACAGATCAGAAATGGTTTGTCTTTTTACCAGATGAAGATTTGTAGATCAGAATATTTACATTAATGTTAGGTTTTATAAATTAAAGACCATGAATTTAACTTGACATGTTTACATTTTTTGTGATGTTTTTCTGAAGTTGTGAAACTGTTTTATGTTAAAAGAACCACACTTTTTCCTGATGCAACAGGTCTATATCTCTATATTGACATGTTTCAGGTGGCGAGCATTCGACAACATTTGGCAGATATTTATGAAAAGGAACAGAGCTGGCGAGAGGCTGCTAATGTATTAGTGGGGATACCTTTAGAGACTGGGCAGAAGTGTGTTTATTGACTTGTTTGGTTTCAATTATAAGATGGTTCTTCCAAATTATTTGTAATATGAAATATAATAAATCTCTAATATTTATCTAAATGTTAACTTAGTAGGCTTGTCTGTTATAAACTTTATATTTATTTTTGTAGTTATAGTTATTGATACCTAGAAATGATTAATGACTTGTACATTACTTAGCAATGATTTGTTTCAAGAATTCTTTTAAAATAAAAGTGGTGAAATGGTATCCATGGATTAGTGGATTTTGTATTAGTGACATTAAAAACTCCAAGTAAACAATACTTCTTGTAAATGATAATTCATGTTGGTCTCTGATAAACTTTGTTTGTTCTTCACTAGACAATATTCAGTGGATTATAAGCTAGAAACATACCTGAAGATAGCTCGACTTTATCTTGAAGATGATGATCCTGTGCAGGCAGAAGCCTTCATCAATAGAGCATCATTACTGCAAGCAGAATCTAAGAATGAACAGTTACAGATACACTACAAGGTCTAATGTTTACTTATCTTAGTCTAGCTAGTTATAGGTAAACTATATAATCTTAAGAATATTCTGTTTGTCTGTTGTATATGTAGATATTAAAAAGTGTATGCTAACTCTTAGGTTAGTTAGAATAACCTGCATAGTCCAATAATTTTTTTTAGTCAGACAAGATACATTACCTGGTCTAAAAATTTCCTTTTCTAACCTGACTTAATAAAAATTTAATTTATTTTTCATAGGTCCTTTCTAATTAGAGAGATCTTACAAGTAAAATTTTGTAGTGGAATAAAGGTTTGGCTTTGACAGTAGAGATGTTTTCTGTTTATGGCATAAAAGTTATAGGTTTATGTGAAAACATTTTTTATTTTGTTAAAAATGTTATGGATAATTATATATTTCCAGACTTGTTAATCAAAAATAATAAAATTCCACTTTAACTGAGGTTAGTTTGCAAATGTTTTTTCATTAAGAACTGGGAAAAACAATTGTAGATGTTTGAAAATTATGATATAGCATTGATAATGTAACTGGTAAGTGGGTTCAAGAAATTCTTTATTATCACATTGTTTAAGGTTGCTAAGAGATCTAATAATAGAAGGTGTTATTTAAAAAATAAAATAAAAATGTGATGTCATTGGCTGTAACTAATCTTGAACACGTTATTTGCCATAAACAATAGAAAAAGTCATGTACACCCCACGTTAATATACTTAAAAGCTGTGCATTCACATGGCAGGTATAGAGAAAATGATACAACCTGGTTTTGAATGGTCACTGTGGAGTATGGAATAGATACTTATAGGGAAAGTTGTGCATACTAGGTTAGAAGGTGCTGTTTCCATCAGAATTTAAATACAAGACACATTCCTTCCTCTTTGAACAACATCATTCTTGATGCAGCTGAGCAAGACTGAAATTCTGCTGAAAAGAATGAGATGACTAAATGACTGTAGATTCATTTGATTACATGGAGCCAAGGTTTATTTCAAATGGATATTGTATAATGTACAGGCAACACGTAATGATATATCAAATGACCATTGTGATGTATGACATTAGTTTGACCATGTATCACCATATGAAGTATATGATATTGGACTTATTTGTAAATATACACAATTGTTCTATAAATGTTTCAGAAATTAGTAAACAAATATGATATAACATGATAAACTATGTCATTTGTGCACATTTTGACACAGAACTGATATAAACCATTTTAGTCCCTCATCGTTTTTGTCTTATTCTCATTAGTTAAAGATACGCTACCAAATTTTAATTTTTCTTAGTTTAGATTTTTATCATTTAAATTAAAATTATATATTTTTGTAGTGTGTTAGTTATGGATAAACTGCAAAACTTGAGCTTTAAATTTTGCATATTATGAACAAGGTGTGACTGATCAGTCTTTTAACTGATTTCAGGTGTTATAGATAACCTTTATTCTCTTAGTTTGACTTAGTGAAGATAAGTTAACAAGATCTAAGACTTTTGTGTCTTGTTTAAACGTTTTACAAGTTTAACGAGGTTTCAAAATTTTTGCTTATTTTGGTCTGTTTACAAGTATTTATAAGGTTGAAAACATTTCTAAGTGTAAAATTTTTTTTAGTTGTTGTTTTGTCATCTATTTCTTTTTTATGCATTTGGTTTTAAATTTCACCTTATGTTTTTTTAAATGCCTAGGTATGTTATGCACGTGTGTTGGATTACAGGCGTAAATTTATCGAAGCAGCTCAACGCTATAATGAGTTATCCTACAGAAATATCATCCACGATTCTGAGAGAATGACTGCACTAAAGAATGCTCTGATTTGTACGATCTTAGCCTCTGCAGGTAGAGTCATAGTAAATGATTTGAATTTTGAAATCAACAACTAAGTGCCAGTATGAGAGTTAGAAGTTATGTGCATATGAACAACTTTGTATTCCAATTTAATGAACTTTTACAGATACTTAGAAGATGCAGTGTTTTAAGGAAGCTTTAGTCTTGTGTAATGATATGGTTGCTCTTACGGGTAATGGAAGAACTTCTTCAAATCATAAAATGGTTTAATAATGGACAAGAATATTGAGGATGCGATGTCTTTTGATCCACTATGATCTATTTGCATTTCTTTTGAATCTGTAGAATTAAGTATTGTATAATTTCTTTTATTAGCTTTTATGTAACATATAATTTAGTATATGTAGTTTATTATTCAAAAGTTTCTCTTCTGAATGTTTAACGACTGTTTTTACACCTCCAGAACAACTGTAATATTGGACCTTTAAAGTATTCAGAAAATCATGACATTGTGTTCAAGGTCTCAAAATGTGTTCTTAGCTACAATGATGTGTACTTTGTTGCCTAAAGTAAAGCCTTAGTTTTTCTTTATGACTGGAATCATTATGAAATAATTGTTTTTACATCATGAAATTTAACTCTTTCATTTTTGTCTACATTATGTGAAACAAGGGAAATAATTCACTTAACTAAGTTAAATGGGGTAAATCTTGGTCGAAGGAAATCAAGATCCTTGTATTTAATACCACCATGTGGTGAATCTCAGTTAAAAGTAATTTGCACACATGGAAAAAGTTCCATAGATTCTGGTATTTTAAAACAGTCTTCCAAGTCTATATGCTATCTATAGCAGGATATTAGGCTTCACTTTATTTAATTGATCAAACTCTTGACACTGTGGAACTAGAGCTGGTCATGTCAGTCAGTAGTTCACAAAAAAAGTGATTTTTTACTCTCTTAAAATGCTCAGTAAATACCCTATGTAGAACCTTCTTGCAGGCAGAAGCAAGAGGTGGCCTTTGTCAGTTGATGAGAACTTCAGCTCATAGATTTTCTGAATGCATTGTTTGTTTTGCTGTGCTTAAATTGTTGCCTAGCACTTGCTCCTATTGCTTCACAGTGAGTTTTAGATATGTAGGATCGAAAGGTGCAGGAAGTTGGAGATCATTGAAGATTTGTAAAGAGTTTGAGATGCTGTTTAAGTGAAAAGTTTTCTGTTCGTGAAATATAGCCACTCTGTGACACCGTTCCTTATATTGTGCCATTGTTCCGTCAGTAAAACCTAAAGGTTTTTAAATATGTAGGATCTCCATAAGAGCAATTATTTGTCTTTCAGTTTCTTTGTTAGAATTAGGATCATGAAAATGTATCTGTCAGGCTCATCATCCTGTTTTCTTATTCCAAAAACCTAGCATCCAACTCCAACACAAAATGGTAAGAAAGCCCAAGTCCATCTGTCTTAGGCTTATATACATTTGTTGGTGTCCTACTTCATCTATCAAATGTCTTGATGACCTGGTTTTATATTGTACTCTTTAAAACCAGTAGAAGTATGTTTGAAATTGCTGGTGACTACCAACAACAGTCTTCAAGAATTGTGCTTGTTCTACCTGATTCTGCAGCAGTTTACATTCATGTTTAATTGTTTATGAAAGAAATTTTACTAATTTGTCATAACATAGGATTTCTTCTATCATTCTGCAGGTAGTAGATGTTATTGAAGTTGTTCAAAAAGTTTTCTCATATATTACTCTATGTTGCAAAACAAGTCATTTGAGAATTTCTTGGGAGTCTTAAAACAAACATCAGGAACATCAGCTTCTGGTAAACATTTCCAACAAAGATTTGCTTGAAGCATGCTGGGTTGGTTTAAGTTGACTTATTTTAGATGTTAGTCTATCTCTTCATCATCAAGTTAACATCAAAGACAATTCAAGTTTTATTTTTCTTTACATTCATTCCAAGGCTTGCTTTTCTCTGGAACACTGAATGCAATGTTTTCACAAGCTTCTGGAATTTCTGCAACCAAATGATGTGGGATGTTGCTGCTGATTCTTTCTTTGCTGCATGATTAAGCTGCAAATGTCAGTCTTACATTAAAATGAGAGCTGTGACTGTCCTTTTTATATAGACATCATTTTCTGAGATGAAATGTTTCATCATAAGACATCGGGGTTGTGGCTGTGACTGTCCTTTTTATATAGACATCATTTTCTGAGATGAAATGTTTCATCATAAGACATCGGGGTTGTGGCTGTCCTTTTTATATAGACATCATTTTCTGAGATGTTGTAGTTGTAGGAAGCTTGGGACATGTGAAGGGGGGAAGTGAAGCATGCCAAATAGTCTGAATAAATACAAGTGTTATTACCATATTTGCAGGTGTATAAGATGACCCTGGATTTTTTGAAAAAATTAAGTACATTTCTTTGAGGTTCAGTGTATAGGATGACCTCTATTGTCAAGCAAGTCTAGCGTGTAACTTTTGTAAGGAAATTCTTAGAAGTTAATTTTAAACTGTTCTAACCTGTCCTCTGGGGGTAATCAATACAACCACAAGTGTGGTTTTTTTATGCTCTTCAAATGCTGTAGCTAGCTCAATGTGACATAACTTGAGTCACAAATATGTAATAAACAATTTTACAAAATGTTCATCACAGTTGAACTCCTTTTCTATTACAAAAATACTAACCCTTAAGATATAGTGATCTACTATAAAAAAATGTTTACAAAATCAGTGAACATTACAGAAACTAACTTTTTTGATATAATATTTTAGCATGATGGATGAGATCAATACATTTCAAATCAAAAATGTCTTGGTTAATTGTAACTAGCATGCGAGATAAATAACTTCTATTTATGAAGAATTGAGACAAATTATACAATTACAAATATGTTATTGTAACGCAGTATGTGGCACAATATCAATGTACTTACTCAAAAAAACAGACAAAAGTAAAAGGAACAACATAGTTATGGTTAAGTATGCTATTAACCAGAGAGTTCTTACTGGAACTCTTATCTTTGAACCTGTGTGTAAGATGAGGGGTAAAATTGGGCATTGTTTTAAGAGAAAGTATCGTTTTATACACCAGCAGTTATGGTAAGATAAGAATAGAAAGAAAACTAGGATAATTCTGAGCAATTCGTTTTTTTTGCATTGTTCAGTAACAAAGTACAGTAGTCTGAAAAACTAACGTATTAATACATGTCCTGCAACTTGGAAACCTTATGACACATGTAAACTAGCATTAGTTCAATGGTGTAGATTTTATGCACGATGGGTAGAGAGTTGGAAGCTTTATAAGTGGAAAGTATTAGAGACTTGCTGTATAGCACTTGGTTGATGAAAAATTTATAAACTTGTTTTTTAACGCTCATTTTGAAATCATCACTCATTATATTTCCTACTCTGTTATTTTCACCTCGGCTTTCCTTCTTACTGAGTTGTAAATACCAAAATACAGATATGTTACATGGAATAGAATATTTTTATTGGATATTTATTGACAGTGATACCAGGTTATACAAGGTGGACCATAGTGAACCTTCCCAGCAAAGGAAAGCAAAATTACAACTAACACAGCAAAACTGTCTTCTTTAAAAAAAATCAAGTAAATTACAACAGAATTAATATCTTTATCGTGGAGTTCTTTATCGCCCATCCCATATAACACATTAGCAAAGGTGTCAAAAATTTCAATATTCATTATGTCATTAGAAATTTTAGTTTATTACTGCAAATGCATCATTGAGGAACTGGTTTAAAACAGTACTTCTGCTGAATAGGACAACAGCGGTCTCGTATGTTGGCCACACTCTTCAAAGACGAACGTTGTCAGCAGTTACCCACTCACGGAATTTTGGAGAAAATGTAAGTGATAGAATTTTTTATTGCAGGTGATGAAATGTTTTATTTTTAGTAAAGTATGTATTTTAATGATTTAATTAGTTTATTTTTTATAATTGGAAGTAGTTACCTTTTCACAGCTCTTTAGAAAATGTATTATTAAAGTGATATATATATATATATATATAGTAAAAATATGTTTACCAAAGTTCAAAAGTTTGTTTTTTTTAAACAAAGTTTTGTGCTGTGAAAATAAATATTCATATGTATAAGTTTAATATAATGTGTTGACTAGCTTAATTAGTTAATTTTTCATAAATATTGTGACAATTATATAAAACAATATTTAAAGTTCTCATTAGACTGCATTATTTTTAATACAGGTACACTCATGATTTTCCAGAGCCTTGCCAGATTATCCGTTTTGCCAGACCAACAGAGGTCGCCTAATAATAATTCCACAATAACCTCTGACCCACTAATTATACCCCTCCTGTGTCTCTGAAGCACTATGGACTGGTAGAAACTTAAATAAAACAAATATTAAATGTAAATTAAATTATCAATGAAATACATTAGTACAGGTTTATTAGTGCAGTATAAATGAAAAAGGTTTATTAATTACTGTATTTACAAAAAATGTTGCAGTAGTACCGCTTCCTACTTAAAATGTAAGTAGCCCATCCCGAAAGAGCACGCGCCACATGCAGTGTTATTCTGTGGCCGCCCAGTGAACTAGTCTGGCAGTCGCGGGAATTTCAAGTGTGCTCTCGTAATTTTGTCCGGATTAAAGGAGGTGCCGGACCATCAGTTGCTGAAAAATCAGTGGTGCACTGTATTTGTTTTTAAGATTAGTTTTGTGCTTCTATTGATTGAATGTAAACAATAATTTCTGTTTCTTTGGAAGGTATTTGGATAGGATAATTCGAAGGAGTGAATTGGAAGAGTTTGCTGCCCTACTTCAACCTCATCAAAAAGCCACGACAGCAGATGGTAAAAAAATGGTTGCAAATTCTAACTCTGGAATTTCTAACGTTTTTTTTTTTCTTATGTCCCTGTTTTGATAGGAAATCTAATATTACAATAATTAATAACATTTTTTATTTATTATATATATATATCATGATAGTTGGTTCTTGAGATATCTAGAAACCAACTTTTGTCATTACCATTTTTCAACTGAAGTCAAATCAACCTCATCTAGTATCTAACCTTAATATAAAAATAAATACTTTGATACAGCAAATTATTCTGAAGTGAAGCTCTTCTAGAACTAGAAGGATTTTCAACTGCTTAGTTAATCTGAAATATCAACAGTAAAATCACAAATATTTAGTCAATTTCACAACTGATTCATTCATAATATTACCATGTGTTAGATCTGTTAAAATATTTATACTTCAAGTATGTGTTTATTATAGGCTAATATAATTTCAGTAGTAAAATGCTAAAATAATGAAGTTATATCAAAATAAAGTCATTAGACATCTTGATGTTTACCAAATTAGAGTTAAGAAAACAAATTTACTTGGAAATAAAAGATGTAGATCATCTGTGACTTATGTTTATTAAAATTAAGTCTTTATAATTCTCTCAGTTAATTAACATTTTTGTGAAACTTGTGCATTAGAAGAACACTAGATAAATGTTGAAGTTGTACTGCCTTTACTGGGCTGAATGCATGCCCAGACCATATATCCAGGGGCATATGGTTCAAAGAATCTTTCTGCACTGTTGAGCCTTGGATGCAGTTTAAGAGTGATGGTCAAATTCCACTATTTAGTCAGATAATAGTAGCCCAAGAGTTAACATTGAATAGCTGCCTTCTCTCTAGTCTATCATTTCAAAATTAAGGACATCTAAGTGCAGAGAGCTCTTTGTGCAGATTTGCATGAAAATTTTGAAATAAAAAAAATGCTGCTTTTATTTATAGGTTCAACAGTTCTGGATAGGGCTGTGATAGAACACAACTTACTTTCAGCTAGTAAACTTTACAACAACATCACATTTGAAGAACTAGGAGCATTACTGGAAATCCCCCCTGCTAAGGTAGGTATCATAATTTATTACATCTTAATATTCTGCTTTTTCTTAGCAAAATTCAAATTATGATAGTTGTGAAACTGGAAATCTGCTCTGGAAGTTTTCATTGGTGATTTTTGATATTCAGTGTCATTTCTAGTTTAGTAAATAATACTCTCAAAATGTTAACAAATTTCATTGCAGATCCTAATTTTATCCAGGTACCATTTATTTTAGGATTATAATAATGAAAATTTGCTGAGGTCTTGAAATGGATTTAAGTCCTTTTTATCAGATTACAAATAAGTGTGCAAATCTTGCTCATTATATAATGCTTGAAAGGATAAGGTCCCATACTACAAGTTCTAAAGATATGTTATATTAAAATACCATTGTCCATTACATATGAGAATGTTACAGAAGGAATTACAGAAAGGTTCTCTTATAAATGTTAGTTTCCATTTCACGTACTTGGCAAATGAGTTCTACATAGCAATGGATAACCTGACTTTATTTTTAGTTCACTTATCATCTACAGTTTAAAATGTTGAAATCATGTAAGAAAGGAACACCATCGCACCCCTAACTGATATGATGCCTAATGTATTATACTTAAATGGTTCCTTTATATAAGGATATGTTACATAATCTTCTCGAGATAAAATTCCTAAATCCGTTTGCCAAAAGTACAGTAAAGGAGCATTTAAAATTAAATATAATGAATCATTTCTGCATTTGACATTATATTGATCGGACTTGTAACTTTCCTTTTTTTGAACTGTGAATGAATAGTTGCTCTTCATTTCTTTGTAATATTTGTGCCTGATAGTATTTATACAATGCTCTGTTTGTGTATTCTTAAATCTGATATTTATATATAATTCACATGATTGTTTTCATATGGTGTTAAGTTAATGTATCTGTTTTTCAGGCTGAAAAAATTGCTTCACAGATGATAACTGAAGGTCGAATGAATGGTTATATTGATCAAATTGACTCTATAGTCCATTTTGAGAGTAAGTAGTATATTTTAGGTCAGTTAAAACAATGAATCAAGGTCAGAATTTGTAGTCTTCACGACAAGTGAAGTCTTGGCAAGTGGTGACTGCTGACCAAACACTTTGATTAATGACCTTTCAAAAAGGCTTGCAATGTCTAAATGTATGTTATTTCATACAAAAAAAGTGATAAATTATTGAATTTTATTAATTATGTATAACATTCTCTTAAATGTTTATAATTTAAGTGTTTTTACATTATGATTTTTTGCAGGATGAAAAGTATAGCTGACAAGTTTTGGTAACATCGTTAATAAAATGTACAAAACTAATATGCTATAGTATTTCAAAGCTTTGTAAAAGTGTAGTTTATCTTCATAACATAGCATAATGTTTAGGGACAACAAAGGACCTATTGGTCCATCTAGGCTGTCCCATCATCTAAATTATTAAAAAAAACAAAAAACAC